CAAAGGAGAAATAGACACCTCCACAATATAGTAGTAGACTACACTACCCCATTTGTGAAATGGATAGAACCAGATAGAAGAAGAAAACACAGGATTAAAATACCACTATTGACCAATTAAACATAACAGACTTATACAGAACACACCACTCCATGACAGCAGAATACAATTTTTTCTGAAGTACCCAAGGAACAATTTCCAGAATACACCTCAGGACATACAAAAAATTTTCTATAATATAAAAACACTGCAGTCATACAAATTATTTATTCTAACAATAATAAAATAAAACTAGAAATTAACAGCAGAAAGAAAACTAGAAAATCCACAAATATGTGCAAATTAAACAACACACTTAAGGAAATCACAATATACCAAACTATGAAATTAAGCATAAACAGTGCTGGCAAAGATATTTATAAGTATCTATACTTACATTAAAAATAAACAACAATCACATATCAACAACCTAACTTTATATCTCAATGAGGTAGAAGAACAACAAACTAAACACAAAGCAACAGAAAGAAGGAATAAAGATTGGAAAACAAAATAGAGAAACAAAGAGCACTAGACAAAGCCATGAAATTAAGAGATCATAGATAAAAAGATTGATAAACCTTTAGCCACATTAACTAAAAAAATTTTAAAAATGTAAAAACCCAGAAGATTCAAATAACTGAAATTATTTATTTTCAAGAAGGAAAAAAAACAGAAAATAAGAAGCGTTGGTAAAAATGTGAAGTTATTAGAGACTTTTGCCCTGTCGGTAGGAATGGAAAATGGCACAAGTACTATGGAAACAAGCATGACATTTCCGCAAATGACTCAAAATTGAATTACCATATGAGCGAACAATTCCATAGCTGGGTATATGTTCAAAAGAATTGAAGACAGGATATTGAAGAGATATTTAACAATCAATGTTCACAGCATTATTCGAAACAGCCAAGTGGTAGAAACAACTCAGGTGTCCGCCAACAGATGAATGGATAAACAAATGGGGCGTACACACAAAAAGGAACATTATTAGGTCCTAAGAAAAGGAAATTCTATTATATATTATGACACAGATGAACCTGGCGGAGACTACACTAAATGAAATCAGCCAGTCATAAGAAGACAAATATGTATGATTCCACATACACGAGGCACCTCAAACTCTGAAATTCATATAAACAGAACAGAAAGGGCAGTGGAGAGAAGAAAATGGGGAGACAGAGTGAGTTTAAATATTCATGGTAATCAAATATAAATTCAAACAATGAGAAAAACATAATTTTAACTCTGCTAAGCTCATACAATGTAAAAAAATGGTAAAATTTGTTAGACAAACAAGAGGGGCATGATGTCAGGGGTACCACGACTTCACAGATTAGTGGATACAGGGTTGTAAGTGTGAATGAATGAAAGGTCAGGTGTACTTCTATAAACCTAATAAATTTGACTTCATAATTATCACCAGAAGGACACAAATGACCTTACGGACAAAATAAATAAACGACTCACAGTGGGAATGGTTCACATCGAGGGCACTATTAGTAGAAGCTAAGTGCAAAAACATTTCCTGGCAGTGGTGTGGACACCTACGGACTAGGTCATCAGCAACTAAAGCAGCAAATAACAGCCAGAGAACCACAGGAGAGCACCAGGCTGTGGGTTACCAGGGACCAGGTGAACATTACAGGAAAGTCACACGGAAAGAAAGGGGGGGGAAAAAGTCCTCACATGTTAACTCAAGAATGGAATTTCCAGAACTTCAGGAATATTGCAGAAAACATAGGTGACACAAACAATAGTGAAGTCCATGAACTGCAAGAAATGGGGAGTTTCCCATAAAATATGAGATACTAAAAAATTGAATTGGTATACCAAGATGAACATAATGAATGTAGATAGGGAACATAATTATTAGAAATAGTGTTTGTTCTGTGAAATAAAAGGTGACATTTAGAAAATATCCACAAATTACCTTTATAAAATTAAAAGCATACTATAGAAAATGCAATATATCTTTGTGACATGATATATATGTGTGTGTGCGTGCATGTGTTGTGTACATACACAGTTCCTGGTTCATAACTCCCATAGCCCTTGTAACTGTCTTTTGTTATAATGTTGGGGCATTTTAGTCCTCAGAAGCAGCCCTCAGGAAACAGAATCTCTCTCTCTGACCTTCTCCTGCCTTCTTTTCACCTTTGCAATGCAGGACTCTAATCTTCCCCTGCCTTTTGGATTGTGGGTCATACGATCCTTATTCCAGAGAGGGTCCTGCCCCACACCCTGGAGGAAGGAATGCTACACATAGAGGCCAAGAAGAATCTGAACAGACAGGCCTTGCCAGGTTTAGATCAAATTCTCTTTGTCCAACCACATTTTGACATGGCTTTCCATACTTCAACCATGCCTACGAAGTTTCCATAAGAACAAAAATGGAATGGGTTTGGAGAGCTCTGGACGGCTGAACATGTGGAGGCTCGCGGATGGTGAAGAACTCATCCACAGGCTAGCAAAGTGGCACATCCCAACTCCACAGAGACAGAAGCTCCTATGCTCAGGAAACTTTCAGACCACGGCCTATGTATCTCTTCACCTGCCTGCTTCTTTGTATCCTTTAAAATATCCTTTGTAATGGATCGGTAAACATAGTAAGTGTTTCCCTGAGTTCTGTGAACCACGTGAGCAAATTAATCAAACCAGACAGAGTCATGGAAACCCCAACTTGAAGCGGTCAGTCAGAAGTTCCTGAGGCTCAAACTTGGGCCTGCAGTCTGAAGGGAGCCTGAGCCCTCATCCTGTTTGGAACTCCCCATATTTGGTCACAGAAGTCTTCTGTGTTGATGATTGTTGTTGCAGGTGTGAGAGCAGAGGAAGATAGTTTAAAATTTTCCTCTCAATCATAAATAACAAATTATAGCAAGTCAATTTAATGGTATTTCTGAGATTAAGACAGTAACAATTTTTTTAAAAGTATATTCTTGAGTTATCAAAAATTCCCAATTTACGAATGCATTAAATTTATTTGACAAAAGTAGACTTTAATAGTAGGTACCAAGTCAGGAAAAAAAAAGAGAAGGAATATTTAAACTACTTATTCAAAAATGTCTTGAGTTTCTATAGGTTTTAGAGAAACTCCTCCTGTCCTCCTGAGCTACACCCTCTGTAGTCAACAACGAAATCTTCTGAAATATATAAATCAATAGCTGTTCCCTGATACACCAGCCCCACATACTATAGATTTAAATCAAAGAACACAAAGAATATCATACAAAATAGGAAACGGATAATAAATAAATAAAAACCAAGTTCTTTTATACTACATGGAAATGTACAAGATGGAAGTACCAGTGGCTGAAATGACAGGGGACTTAGAACTTGAGGCATCGTTCCAGTGAGCAATGCTCCCACACGGAACTGGGGAGCCAATGCAGGAACTGCCAACTGTCTTCTCCTGCTGCTGAGTAACAATCTCCGAAATACACACCAATAATTTGTGGATAAAGCAGAACTGAAGAATGACTGAGGGATCTTCTGAAATAAGAAGAAATACACACACTGGTCTCCTCCTTGGTTCCCGACACAGATGCCTAAGACCTTAGGATCTCCCAGGTGACAGGAGTGTGATTTGTTCTAATGAGTCAACAATTGTTGACTCATTGATTGTTCTGTGGTCTCCTGGATGCAGGCTGCTCACCAGAAAACAAAGCCACGATTAGAAGCCTGAAACTTTCAGCCCCAACCACCATCCTCCTAAAAGAGGAGATGGGCTAGAGATTGAGGTAATTATCAATCATGCCTATTTGATGGAACTTCCATAAAAATCTCTAAACTAGGGGATTATGAGAGTTTCCAAGTGCTGAACCCATGGACGTGCCTGGAGGATGGTGTGTCCTGTGAATCTTCCCACGTGCCTTGCCCTGTGAGCCTCTTCATCTGCCTGTTCCACTGTAACCTCTGAAATATCCTTTACAATAAGCCGGTAGACATAAGAACGTTTATGTTTCTGGTTCTGTGGGCTGGCCTAGTAAATTAATCAAACCTGAGAAGGAGTCAAGGGAACCCCAATTTACAGCTGGTCGGTCAGCAGGGAAGGTGACAACCTCTGACTTATAATTGGTGTCTGAGGTGGGCAGCGGGCCTGGGGACTCAGCCCTTAGCCTGCGGGATCCGATTCTAACTCCAGAGAGAGTCAGAGTGAATTACAGGAAACCCAGCTGATGGCCATCAAAACATTGGTTGCTGGTGGGGAGAAATCCCTACAATTTTTGCTGACCAGAAGTGAAGCACTCTGCATCGAGTGGCATGTGACAGGAGGAAAAACACTTCGGCTTTTTCTTATTTCAAACAGACCTGAACAAGCAGGGAGAGCTGGAGACAGCTCTGTGCAGTTTCCAGGCCCCAGATGCAAAGGAAGAGCAGCCAACGTTTTCCCATCTCCTCATTCGGTCTTCCAAGTACAGGAAATGGGGTGGGACCTGAATAGGTCAAGGCATTAGGTCTATGGAGGCATCCGCTGTGATGTATACGGACACGGAACTGAGCATCAGATGGAATCAAGCACAGGAGATGCCACGGGGGAAAGAGACCCCTCGGAAATGGCCCTCCTTGTGCTGCACAGAGTGAGGGGACCAAAGAGTGTGAAGAAGCCAGACGGTAGGGTGTTGTCCGTCATGATAAAGACTTTGCCTTTGGTCTCTGTTTAAGCTGGGGAACCACTGGGGGGTAAAAGGATACACTGTTACACGTCTAAAGAACAGAGTGGTAAGTGGAGGCAAAGAGAGATTTCCATTCAGAGCTCACAGGGCTCAAACCTTTCTTTACCCACAGAACTTTCCCACTTGCAGAGTTTCCCACACACTGGTTAATGGGGCTGCTTCCACTGTGCCCACCTGAGCTCTTACCCGAGTTCACACCTTTGGTCCATTCCCCCCCATCTGGGTTTCTTGTTTGCACTTCACTCTCCACAGTCCAGGGCTCTTTCCCTTGTTCCAACATGGAGATAACACTCAGGTCAGAAAGAGAGACTCCTGCTTATAAAAAGAAAAAAATCAAGAAGTGCTGTAGCTTTTCCAAAATTTTCCTATGTTTAGATAGGAGAGAAGATATTACCAAGGGATCAAGAAAAATATTTCACAAATTCATCTCCGAATGGCCTCCTTCTGAAAGTTTAGGGAACACTGTAATATGCAGACATCTAGCTCTCTTCCAACAACTACTGAATCAAAAGCACAGGGGTAGAAACCAGGGAACTGGACATTTTAAAAGTCTTTCATAAGTTTTTTTGCAAATGTAAGCCCTGGTACCACAAAATGATGTATTATGAAGGGGGTGGAATATCTGAAGAAAGGGGACATTTAAAGTCCAGAAAGCATTATGGAGCTTTTCATTTCTGAGTCAATAAGACTTCAATGTCAGTCAAGCAATGCAGGGGCTCCCAAGGGGCACACAGAGAAAATGCAAAGACACACAAGGGCAGATCCCGACGTCCAGAGCCATGTCATCCTCACCCAGGGAGACCAGGTTCCTGTAGGTCTCCAACATCACGGCCCGGTATAAAGCCCTCTGAGCAGGGTCCAGGCATTTCCACTCTTCCTGAGAGAATTCTATGGCCACATCCCTGAATGTCAAATGTCCCTAAAATGAAAAACATATTTCACCAATGGGCTATGGGGCGGATTCTTATATTCAAGCAAAATGAGAAAAGAGTTGTAAGGATTGATTCAACTGCAGTGAGCATTCTGACAGATCCACACTTAAGGTAAGTTTGAGCTCGTTACATGTCTGTAATTGCATTTTATTATACTTTTCCATAAGAAGTTATGATATTCTCTGAATCAGTCTAGATTTCTCATTTTTGTGGACAATACAAGAAATACAAATAAAAAAATTCAGACAGGCTTTTATCTATATCTCTATAGAGGTGTTAGATATTCTGTTTGATACATCAAGTGGACATTCAGAATCTAAAACCTGTGACAATGACAGCAATAGCAACACCAGAAGCTTTTACACACATCCCCTATGTTAGGCATTATTTTATTAACAAATGCTTTATTTTTATTAATAAATGCTTTACATGTACGACCTGCTACAACAACAAAAGCCCACGAGAGAAAGATCTGTTCCCATCTTACTGAGGCGACAACTGTGCCTCAGACACTCTAAGAAACTTGCCTCAAGTCTAAGGGCTAAAAAAATGGCAGAGTAAGCACTGGATCGCAGGTCTCTGGGCGTTAGAATAGAACCTAAAGGATCAGACAGTTAAGTAACAGATCAGCATCAAAAGTAAATTGACAGAGATTTACTTAATTGAGAAACGCTGTCATGAGCTCAAGGATAAAAATCTAGAACTGCATAAAAGGTCATTATATACATGTATGCATACATGCTGGTTATGCATTATTATTTTTACTACTATCAACTCATTAACATGATCGTGTAGAACAACTTTAAGGTCATGGAAAATATTTAAGATATAACTGCAACTGTTAATAAATGTAAACTTTATATAAAATACTGATTGCCTTTGATAATGATAGGCTTGTTCATCCATGCATACAAGCACACGCATCCCATGTACACACTTATACACATCTACTGAAATAATGGAAAGTGTCTCTCAATGACCTATTAATATTACTATTTTTTAGATGATATTTGTCATCATTGTTTTTTCTTTAATTTTAGAATCAGGGGCCTGCTATATTGCCCAAGCTAGAGTGCAGTGGCTATTCACAGGTGCGATCATCTCGGACTATAGCCTTCTACTCTTGGGCTCAAGCGATCCTCCTGCCTCAGCCTCCCAAGTAAGTGAGACTAAAGGCTCATGACATCACACCCGGCTGTCATCATTATTTTTGCTAATGTGCATCTCAGCATGTTTTTGACAATAAAAATTTATAACTCCTACTTAATTTGGCTTATAAATGTTATTGTATATGAATCTATTAAAAATGGTAGACCATAAAAAATATAGAAACTTGAACTCTAATCTCTATTAAATACCCATATTCAAAAATATATATTAATATATTTTTTAATGGAATGAGGACCTCACTGTGTTGCCCAGAGTGGTCTCATACTCCTGGGCTCAAGAAGTTTATTGTCCAGCCTCAGCCTTCTGAGTTGCTAGGATTACACACATGAGCTATCACACCCGGTCTATACATATCATTTTGTCTGCTTAAATTTAGATATTCAGGTATTTATAAAAGCCCAAGTGGTTTATTAATTTATTTCATTAATAAGATAGTGATAGATGATTATAAAACTTATTAATGTTGTATATAAATTTAATATGTTAATGTCAAAGAAAATGTATCTCAGCAGTAGATACCTTAAGAAATTACTGGATAATTAAACATCAAGCCAAATACGAAACCGGAAAACAAAAAATAACGCTGATATAAAGCACGAACTTTCTCATGAAACACCATGATCAGCAGTAAACAAGGGTACAGGGTTCTGTCTTGGTTGAATATAAGCACTGAAAGTAACAAGTCCCCACGTCAGGGGCCACTGAGAACGAACCATCAACAGAAACCAGAGTCTGCAGGAACACAGCCTGACGCTAAGTGGCGATGCAGACCGCGGGCTGCTACTACTGCCCCTGGAGGCTGCAGGAGCCGCAGGAGCGCAGGCTGACAACAGGGTCGCTACCAGCAGAAGCCCAGAGAGGGCGCATTCCTAGGGAAGGCTTGAGCATCTCCAGGTGGACTGGAGTGTGCTCTCAGGATACCAAGCCAGACACAAAAAACTGGGAGAGGCAACTGATTTTTTTAGTTCAGAGAATGTTCCAATGTGGATGTAAAAGAATAAGGTATTCATTTTCCTGACATCAGAACATGTAAATTTTTGAAATTTTCAAGATAAGATATCACAGCAAAGCAATCACTGAGAATTTTTTTTAAAAGCTGCATGTTTATTTAGAGTTTTAGTATACAACAAATATATATATATAAAGAGGAGTTTAAGGTAAAAAGTATAATATTTAATAATAATTGGGATAATGAGAATATGATTTCATCCTCTCTAATGAAAAAGAAATCTGGCTCCAATCTCTGAGAAAAATTACAACCATTTTCACCCAAAACACTCGCTTCACAACACTCCCTGCAGGAATACCGGTCTGCCTGGTAGGGATGTGCTCAGAATGATCACAGAGCCTCCTCCCGGAACCAAGCCAGACACAAAAATTGGGAAAGTTGACAGATGTTCAAATGTTTTTGAACCTCCTGCTAACTGACATTTAGGTTAATTTCGTATTTTAAAATAGATGATGGAATAAAACACCTCTTGTGGCAGGGCGCGGTGGCTCACGCCTGTAATCCTAGCTCTCTGGGAGGCCGAGGCAGGCGGATTGTTTGAGCTCAGGAGTTCGAAACCAGCCTGAGCAAGAGCGAGACCCTGTTTCTACTAAAATTAGAAAGAAATTAATTGGACAACTAAAAATATATAGAAAAAATTAGCCGGGCATGGTGGTGCATGCCTGTAGTCCCAGCTACTCGGGAGGCTGAGGCAGGAGGATCGCTTGAGCCCAGGAGTTTGAGGTTGTTGTGAGCGAGGATGACGCCATGGCACTCTAGCGTGGGCAACACAGTGAGACTCTGTCTCAAAAATAAATAAATAAATAAAAAACACTCCTTGTCACTGATGTCTGAACTTTCCACTCCTTTCTGAACCATTAACATGATGGATTCAGAAATAGTGATTCACTTGTTCAGTTTCAAACGTAGTATAAAATCACACAGAAAAGATTTACCCTTACTGGTCTCCTTTTCCATGTTTTACCAGGTATATGTGTATATTCACACATGACCTCATGTGCAGCTTTATAATCCTGGTGTACAGAGAGTGACAGAGCCTCCAGATGTGGCCCCTAAACAATCCTGCTGCTCAACAGCACTGACACTAGGGGACCCACACCCCATCTCCAACCCACGTCTGGGGGTGAAGCCCTTCCCAGGACTGTGTCCAGTGGAACCTCTTCACAAGGTCCTGTCACTGGGTCACAGCGAGATGGACTCTCAGTGGAGATGAGAAGGACTGAGGGAAGGCAGGGGTGAGTGCGAGCAAACACGCCAGGCAGGACGCTGCAGAGTCAGAGATCAGCAATGCCAATGCCCGGCATTTCAGAAAGAAAAAACATATAGGACAATCCACTGATAATATAACGTTACCTGAGTCAAAGCCATTCCTGACTGGTTTTCTTTCCTCTTCCTCCTCTTCTGGGCTTCTTCTTCACCCAACATGAGTCTTTAGAAGTCAATCCTGAATGTCAAAAATATGCTCTTAAATGCTGAGAATCAACACACGCCCTTCCTGTGCCACAACTACACACACAGGGAAGACCTTCCCCTGTGGAAAAATGGTTCTCCGTTGCCCACTGCACTGAGAGGGATACAGGCACAATAAACTTCTACAGGAAGACCAACAAGTGAGTTTTGACCCCCTTCTTCAGAACTCGCTCCCCTCCTAGTGAAGCCCCCACCACTCGCTGCAGCAGTGGGGAGCTGGGCTGGGCTGATCTCCCCCCCCCAGAGCACAGACCCACCCTGACCGAACCCGATGCAGAGCACAGCCCCCCTCACCCCTCCGTGGATCCCAGGCTGAGCTCAGCCCTCAGCAATGGAGGACACAGAGCTTTGGTGGTGAATGCTGGACACAGACTATAGTCACCTGGGCACTGCAAATATTATTAAGGCCAGGTACCAACCTGACTATGTGAACGGGAATCTCTGGTAAGGGGGCACAAAACATGTAGCTGCAAAAAGCCTTAGCACTGTAGTGTGAATCCAGGGTTGAGGTCTCCTCAGAGGGGACAAGGCCAGCAAACCTCCCACTTTCAGACTCTGCTGTCCCTTGGGGACACGTCATCACCTACACAGCGGAAGGTGAAGAAACACAAAGAGCAGCCGATATGGACCATATACAGGGGTGACGGTGTGGCAGGAATGTTAAATGGAGGAGAAAGGAGAGGGTCGCAGAAGTCCCCACTGAGAAAGTGATAATAGACAAAAGACCCCAGGAAGGAAGGATGTTTGTCACTGGCAGCTGAGGGGCCAGAAAGTTCTAGGCAGAGGGACAGCCCACATGAAGGCCCTGAGGCAGGAGCCACCTCGGCCCCAGGAAAAGGAAAGAGGCCTGTGAGGCTGGAGCAGAGCGAGCAAGGACGACACAAGCAGGAGATGAGGCCAGACAGGTCCTGGGGGAGCAGAGCAGGGAGGGCCCAGGGCTGCAAACATTTCTCTCCCACATAAAGAGAATTTTCAAAAAGTTTTATTTAATTCTTTATCATTTTAAGTAAACATGTAATTTTTTCTTTATTTTATGCATGAACACACTTAAAATATGAGAAGTTTCACTAAGTCTGAAGAAGGACAGGGTCACCCTCACCTGAGACGTGGGGACTGCAGGGAACACATTTGGGGGGAGTTCAGGAAGTCCATTTTGGACGTATGAAGGGGGAGATGCCTGACAGATGTGCCAGCAGAGAGGTGAGGAGACAACTGGACACACGGTTCTAGAGTCCAGGGGAGAGGTCTGCAGGGGAAATGGAGACATGCAGGTGGGGTTTAAACCGGGAGGTGAGACAGTAAGGAAGGCCAGTGGGTGTGGACAGAGAAGGAAAGGGTTTCAAGGACTAAGTCGTGGGACACTCCACATTCAGAGAAGAACATTCGGAGAAGAACTGGTAATCGGTGGCAAAAATTTAAAACAAAGTGATTTTCAAAATTTAAAGAGATATCCTCAAAGCCAAGAAAAAACATGCTGCTGACAGAAAAGGAAAGACAAATACAGGAAATTAACAACTGGATTTAGAAATGGGGAAGTTACTGGTGACTGAAAAACAAAGGATCAGGGGAATGGTGGATGTGCAAGCTTGACTGGAAGGGGTAAATCAAGAATTTGAGGTAAGAATGAAAGACAGGTAATATAAACAAGAATTTAGGGTTTGTGCTCTCAAATGGAACATAGAAGAGAGCTATGTACTACAGAGAAGAATGGAGTTAATAGAGTGTATTTTGCTTGAATGATGGAAGAGAGGAAAATAAAGGCTTTAGAGTGTGTGTATGTGTACGTGTGTTTTGTGTGTGTGTCTTGTGTGTTTTAAGGGACAATACCACCATGGAGGTACACTGACCAAAAAAATTTCCTGTAAGTAAATATTGATGACACCATGGAGGAAGGATGTCACACCGTTCTGAGACTGCGAGTAGGGCTGGCAAGTGGTGCACAATTGCAGGGCCAGCAACAGCCAGAAGCAGGGACAGACCATTCCCAGTCACTACTGAGCAGAGATCACAGGCCCTGAGATAGGCGCGTGGGTCTGTCGGAAATCTCTTTGCTTTACTTTAGTGTTTGAGACAGAAAAACACTACTCACACCCAACACAGAATACTTCACCTCTAGTCACCAATGTGCATGTGGTTTTTCCCACACTGGCTAGGTCTCTGCGACACTCCCCCCTAGGTGCCCCACAATTTAACTCAATTTTGATAGTACCAATGGGGTCAGATCCCACAGGTTATGATTCAGTCCCAAAGACTGCCCCTCCCTTCAGATGAGGATAAAAATCATGGTTTTCAAAACGCCCTCCTAGGTTTCAGTTATTTTGTGAGAATGGCTCCTGCTTCTGGCTGTTCACCTGTATCCTTTGTAATATCTTTTATAACAAATGGGTGCATCTAAGCAAAAAGTTTCCCTGAGTTTGCGAATAGCTCTAACTAATAAAACATGAGGAAATGGTCATAGAAATCCTAATTTATAGCTGCTGAGTCAGCAGTTCAAGTCCCAACCAGGGACCAATGACTGGCATCTGAAGTGGGGGCGGTCTGAATTGGATCTGATGCGAACCCCAGGTAGACAGTTTCAGAGTTGAGTTAAATCACAAATCACACAGTTGGTGTCTGATGGGAAATCGCTTGTTGGTGAGGAGTAATCCCCACACATTTTGGTGACCAGAAGTATTCTGTGTTGAGTGTTCATTAACATATTGATTGTGACGGTAGGAAAAGCACTTTGGATTTTCCTCCTATCTCATACACTGCACCACACCCTACTCCATCCCAGGAAAAGGGAAGAGGGTGAATGAGTCAGGTCACTGTCCTCTGGCAGAATGGGGACTACAAGTGGAAGCCAGCTTGTGGTGCCAAGAATTATAAAATGCATCAGCCCCATAGATAGTTTTGCAATTCTCAGCTTCAGACCTGCATTATTTCAACAAATGTTAAATTTATTAGATTATAAATAGAGAAATCAATATATCACAACCTCATCCAATCATCTCACCACTCATCTGGACCCAGGGGTCCCCTCTTTCTTCATTACTGTGTTTACCTCCCTCATTCTGTACATCTCTTTCATCCTCACCTTCTCTCCCCTGCTCTTTTTTTTTTTTTCTTTTCTCTTCTGTTTCCACGCAGGGTTCTGCCCTCATTTGTGTTCCTTTCCTCTCCTGCTGTTTCTCCCCTCCTCTATTCCTTCTCTTACACGTGATCTGCCCCATTCCTGCAACTTGTTTCACCTGCTGTTGCTCTTTCCAGTATTTTCATTGTCCCCAATATCATATATTTCTGCCTCTTTCTTCTGGTGTCTCTGCTCCTCCTCTGCTCTCCCTGAATTCCCTCTTCCCTGTTACATCCCCTTGTCCTCACTCTCTGGCACCGCCAGGTCCCTAGGCTTCCTCCCTGCTGTCATTCCCCCTCTGCTCTCCTTGTCGCCAGGTGCCCCCTCTTGTTGTCCCAGCACCCCGCTGCTCTGTCTGCCCTAACTCCAAATTATCCATCCCCTCCCCTCCTCTCTGTCTGAGGTGCCTCCCCCTTGGCTGCCCCTCTCCCTATTTTGCTGTCTTTCAGCTCTCAGGAGATGGAGCTTTTCTCTCCGTACACTTTCTGGGCCTCTTTCACTCTTCCTGTCTCTGCAAATCCCTCTCCCATCCTCTACTTTGCTGTCCGTTTATGGGTCTCTCTCATTCTTCCTTTCTTTTTCTATATTTTTCTATTTCCTCTCTCTTGCTCTCCATCTCTCTTTCTCAACACATTCACACGGGAGGAACAGGAATAACATGCTCAACTCCAGAAGAGCACATTTTCCAGTGGGGAGGAATTTGGGATGAAAGAACATTCGGTGTCACAAGACAAGCCCTGGTCACCTCCCCCAACGCGGAATCCCAGGAAGGGGTGACTGCCAAGAGGCCTGGGGAGCAGAAGGGCCCGGCCCAAGGAGGAAAGGGAACGGGGTGGATTAGGAGAGCAGCGAGCGGGGTCTGCAGAATCCCCGGACCAGGGAGAGGACGCGGCTTCCTCAGGATCGGGGCTGCGGCGCTGCCCTCCAGGGCGAGGCCAGGGCGAGGCTTGGGGACCCGAAGGGTGTGAACCCACCTCGGGGGTGAGGACTTTGCGTGGCGCGGGGCGAGTGTAGGAGTCACTGACGGGTTTTACACAGACATGGCGCGAAGGGAGGCGTCTCCATGGCCCTACGGAAGAAGGACCGGGGACAGGACGGGGGACACAGCGATTTAACTCAAAGGGAAGCGACCCCCGGACTCTCACTGGGACGTCTGAATTTCCTCGGGGTGGAAGGAGCGGTGCTAGGATTTCAAGGTCTGTACGGCCCCCAGATCCGGGGTATAGAAGCGCTGGGGGATTGCGAAGCGGAGACTTATTCTACATAAAGAAAAACTCACCGGACGCGGGGTCGCCTTTTCTCCACGCAATCAACTTCCGGGTCTGCGGGAAACGGCGCGCGCCAGACAAGCCCGGCCTGGGCGGGGCCTGGGCGGGGAAGGGGCGGGGCCTGAGCTTCCAGCGCCCTCGCGCCTGCCCC